TGATGATACTTGATGATATCTAATAGATTTAAAAGAAAAGTAAAATAAAATATTTCTATATATTTTTTTTCATTATACCTGTTTGCTAATAATGAACCAAATGAATCCATGTTTACTTGAACTGCTTTTTCGCTTTCATTCAAATTATTACTACTAGTAGTTTGAATACGACCATTTTCTTCAAGACCTTTGATTGCTGCTGTGATAAGTTGACGTACAGCTTCTTTTTCTAATTAAATTATATTGAAATAGACAAAGAATAGAAAAAAAAACGAACTATCATCAAGATTTTAATATTAAACATGATGGAATTAGTTTTCAATTTTAGAAAGTTCTTTTTCAATTTGTGTGCTGCTCCGACGTGTTAATTGTCATGTATCGTAACTAGATATGAGCAGAAGTAAACTATTTTCATTCTACTTCTTGACTTTTGAAAAAACTTTCCGATCAGCGGATTCCTCATTATTCTTTGTCATTGTCCACAAATGCAAGATACCTTGTGACCTACTCAAATTCTCATTTCCTCGACCTTGAAGAATTACATTCAAGTAACTGAAATCAAGCTTTTTGATTCATGCCTATTATCCATTTCAAAATAGAAGAAGGGTGATTGTTTTTTGAATAACTTTTTAACGGAAATAGCTATTGGTCTGTGGTTTTCATCATTCGATAGAGGCGAGCATTATGCATCTTCCTATAGATGGTTAAAAGAGCCACCTTATGATTCTGATGAGCAGTCAATAAAATTCAAAGAAGTATTTAAGTGCTATAAAAGTTGTATGGAATTTCAATTGTAATTAGTGCATACATTAGATTCGCCAGCTGAAGATCTACAATTTTACACAAACCCGAAATTTTTATTTTCTTCCATTCAAAAATTATACGCCTCACACTGATGGTCAAAAACGTTTGAAACATCCTTTTTTTGGCGAGTTTTTAAAGTTTTCATAATGCGATGTCTATAGGTTTTCTATCATTCTGAATCAAACAAAACTATCCGCATTGTAACAAAGTCATTCTTTGTCATGTAAAATCAGTGCTAATTATATTACATCACAGATTTAATATCTTCGTCGCAAACTGTAATGATATAACATAGTACTACATGTTGAATATCTCTTAAGTGTGTCTGATTGAATCAGAGGCGCATCTATTTTGATACTGATGTCACATAAAATTTTCTTTTCTGTCGAGTTATCACCGACAGTGTGCCACCTAGAAA